TGTGCAGTGCAAGACAATTCAGTTTTGGGTTTGCACCCCAGAGGGGGTGTGCATTTGAGTGCTGGGCAATTCCCGAGCTGAATCTTCCCAGGCAGAGCTGATCTCAGTGTCTGTGTCTCTCTGCAGCTGGGCGGGTCCCTACCTGTGTGGGCTGGAGGATGTCGAGGGCCTGGCTCAGCAGGACAGGGTAAGGGAGCCCAGGCTGGTGGAACTGGTGGCCTCAGTGGTACCCCAGTACATCAGGTGGCACCCGGGATGGGGGGGATAACCCATCACACCAGCCTCCCCTACTCCTCCTGCCCCATCCTTTAATCCTCCCACTGCTTCGTCCCTACCTAGTCCCCTTGACCTAGCCTCAAATTATGTCACCATAGTCATTGAAAACACCATACATTTTAACCCCCCCAAAAGGAACTTTATCTCATCAGTATTTGAATCAGGCAGGCATACGAAATGTAGGGATTTTGTCATTAGCACTTCTGAATCAGTCCCGATACCTGTCCTCCACTTCAGATGCTCCAAAACTGCTGAGAGATGAAGGTTGCAAACAATATGATTCCTAGAGCATGAAGTACTGAGTGTGTTCCTAACTAGAAAGAGTTTTTAAATTAGATGCTATTTGTCTGTAGAGCTTTCCTGCTGGGGGAGCCATGAAATGGAACTATTGGCGACTGTTCCAGAAATTATGACGGAAATGGCTTCACTCTGATTGGCTTCTCTTGCAGATGTACTAAGTAGGAAGCAGAAGGAAATTATTTCCAAGGCAACTGGTTGTGACTATCAGATTCGTTCCATTAAGTGCCCGAAGAGTAGCATTTACCGGACCATTACTGGAGAATGCAACAACAGGTAAAGCATTGATTTTTCATGTATAATAGAGGGCCTTCAGCCTACATAATGTCCTTAAAGTTGTCGGTACGATACCATTGCACCAAGCAGAAAAAATTGTATTCGTAGTTACTTGTATTGTGTTAACACTGAGGGGCCCAAGAGAGGTGCTGTACAAACACATAACAAAGAGACTTTAACCTGGAGGAGTGTAGCAGGCTTCACTCAGGGGCCTATTGGTCAAACTGTGGACAAACAGTCTCTCCAAGACTTGAGGCTGGTCTTCCTGGCAGTCCTGGGGCCCAGCAGCCAAGCCACCATTCATCGCTCCCGCTGGAGTCCTCTAGTATCTCTCAGGAGGCTGGGGAAAGAGGGACGGATAGGGGGACCCGGGCCCTCCCTCTCCATCAAATCCCAGTGGAGGACCCAAGGGAGAGAGGCAAGAGATGGCTCAGTCCCTTCTGACTGCCATTCCAGATCAGTCTCCCCCGTATCACTTCCTACCTTCTTGTTTCCCTTCAGTTTGGGGCATGGCCCAGCCTTCTGCTTACACAGTGTTGGTAATTCAGGGCTTCAGCCGGGGGTGGGCAGCGATGCTTCCCAGCTCACCCTTGGAATCCAATTGTCCCCTCTTAGTCAGGGGAAAGGGGATCCCAGCCAGCCCCTGTCCTTCCCCTGTAGATTGCTCTGCCTCAGAGACTGCAGCCTGTCTGCCTTCTTGCAGCCAGTGTCTCCTCCATGCACCCCTCTGCCAGACTGCCAGAGCTCCCTTTTAAGCAGGTCTTCCATAGCAAACATGCCCGGCAGCTGCTGAGGAGCAGGGCCTACTTGGCCCAGTACTGTTCCACCATTCCTTTTACCATCGTGTGAGCTCTGTAAACCCCATCACAAGGGGCTTTGGAATTTCTGTAAGTCAAAGGGGCAAAAATGATCTGGAATTTGCATTCCAAGCAAAGGGCAAAGCTTGTAGGGAAGAGCTCCACATGTAACTGGATGAATAACCTCTGCAAAGTGATACTAGAACTAAGACGACAGCCGACAAGAAATCATAGACATGTAGAACTGGAAGGAACCTCAAAAGATCATTAAGTTCATCCCCTCTGTGCTGGGGAAGGACCAAATAAACCTAGACCATCCCTGACAGGGGTTTGTCCAACCTGTTCTTAAATGACAGGGGTTCCACAATCTCCATTGGTAATCTACTCCAGTGCTTAACTATCATGATAGAAAGTTTTTCCTTATAGCTAACCTAAATCTCTCTTGCTGCAGATTAACCTCATTGCTTGTTATCCTAACCTTAGTGGCTATGAAGAACGATTGATCACCATACTTGTTTATAACAGCCCTTAACATAAATGAAGGTTCCCCTCAGTCTTCTTCTCCACACTAAACATGCCCAGTTTTATTAAACTTTTCCTCATAGGTCAGTTTTCTAAACCTTTTTTCATTTTCATGTTCTTCCCAGACTCTCTCCAATTTGTCCCCCTCTTTCCTACAGTGTGGCATAGAACTGGACACAACACTGCAACTGAGGCCTCCCCAGTGCTGAGTAGAGCAGAACCATTGCCTCCTGTGCTTTACATTTAACATTCCTAGCCATACAAACCAGAATAGTAGCCTTTTTTGCAACTGCATCACATCATTGGTTCATATTCAATTTGTGATCCAATGGAACTCCGGTATAATTTTCTGCAGTATTACTGCCTAGTGGGTTAATTCCCCATTTTGTATTTGGGCATTTGATTTTTCCTTCCTAAGTGTAGTCCTTTGCACTTGTCTTTATTTAGTTTTATCTTACTGGTTTCTGACCATTTTCCAATTTATTACGGTCATTTTGAATTTGAATCCTGTCCTCCAAACTGCTTGCAACCCCTC